CTAACATTCATGAAAGAAAGGATACACAGACAAATATTCAACTTGTCACGTCTCACAGAATTTCTTGGAGGAGCCAAAACCATAAAAAGATAAACAGAACAGGACAGCCCTCCCACTTCTCTTGAGTAGTAGTCATTAAAAAATTTAAAGTATCCTCACTGTTAGAAAACTGCATCTTAATCCAAAACTGAACTTGTGCAGTACCAACATTTAGTCTCAGTACCTACAAAGACTGCTGCTGTGTGCTTTGTCAGAATAAAAAGTGAGAATTCTCCACTCTTAAGCTTCTTCTTCAACATGCAAGCAGCTGTCCACAACAATCTGTCTTTTCTCTAACAAGCTGATTTAAGCTGAGTGCCTTTAAGTGTTGTTCTCTGGATTCTGCATCATGCTTATGGCCTCCTTGAACTCTACTACTGCCCCACTTTCTTGGCAGCAGGGTTACCAAAGCTTTGCATAATATTTTAACAGTTTTCATCACCGCACACATCCAGCTAACAGTGTTCCTCACCCTGCCAGATATTCCTCTTGTTATGCACCCACAGACCACATTAGACTTACAAGTAACAGCCGTTCACGGGCAGCTATCAGTAGTTCACTGGATCACAGTCAATAATCTAGGTTCTTCATTATGTACTAACCTGAACTTTACCAGCAGAGACCTCAATATTGTTACCTGCAGCGCTGATAAAAGCACTAAATAGCAAAGAACTAATCCTTAACAGAATCTCACTTTAAAAATACCTGCACGCTGATGTTTTAGTATGGACAGCAATATTTTGTGACCTGCTGGTAAGTGGCTTTAAATCTATCCACTGTGCCCTGCTACCTTAAAAAGACGGACAATAGAGAATCAACTAAAATGTCAGACAAATAAAAGATGTGTCTTTTAATCACGTAGATCCATAAATCATTATCAAGAAATAAGAAATTCAATAAAATCTCACTCTGTAAATAAGCCGAGAAGAGTTTTATTCCAACCTATTTAGCAGCGCTAGTATTACCATCATGAACTTTGCCTCTTTTCTGAAGCTAATGTTGCATCACGTTACATATCTGCATTTGGGAAACATGAGTTCAAGAACCTACTCCAGAGAACCTTGCATAACCTTTGGCATGTCAACCAGTCTCCACGGTGGCTGGAGCTATTCTTTCAAAGCACATTAAAAGAAGGAAGCTCACAAAGAGGAGATGAGACAGAGTGATGCTATGAAGCCAGATGGCACACTGTTAGACAGCTGAGCCACTAAAACTTTTACCAAAATTGCCAGTGTAACTAAAAGAGTATTGACTTAGTGGAAGTTCCCTGGGAAAGGCACTCGTAAAACAGCATTAGCACTGAGAAGCTAGTCCTTGGGGTGACAGGACACAAGGCCAGGCTGCACTACCCACAGGCTTCAAAGCAGAAGCAGAATTAACGACATCGCCAAGACCCTCACACAGTGCACGCCTCCACAACTCCTCCTTGCCCTACGTCCCTGACTCACCACAGTGATCAAAGGCCTCTGAACTTGTAGGGCAACTGGCTGTACCACATCCAAGATTGAGAACGGCCAAGAGCTGAAAAGGAAGAATTCAGCAGTGAATTACCCCAGAGCTAAAACAAAACGACGACAGCCCCGCCGCAGGAATACCCATTCCTAGTACCTGAAGCGGAGCAAGCCGGCCCGGCCATTGGTGGCAGCCTCCTCTGGGAACAGCAGCAGTGGTGGGTTTCCCCTGTGGGACGAATACACCTTCAGGGAATCCACCAGCTCTGCTCGGCTTCCTGTTACTCCCAGCTCCATGAATCCCCGTGACCAGCAGATGAAGCCAGGGGCACCGTTCAACGCAGGCTGCAAGGGCAAACAAGAGTAAGGAAGAAATGCCGTCCTCCCCTCCCCTCAAGGCCTACTTTCCCAGATGACAGTGGGAGACAAAGTTCCTGCTTATTAGCAAAAATGCCTCTGGGGGCTGAGAGAACAACCTCCAGCCTAAAAGCACTAGTAGCAGAGAACATGTTACTGCTAGGTTTCAGTAACTGCTCTGGCCCCAGTTCCTTAGAAATTTGATTCCTAATCTTCAGTGCAGACTGTATCCTGTCTGCCAGAGAAATGAACTCCCTCCATGCCCTGGGCAACAACCGTGTTTCCCCATGTTCTCTCTAGTAGTTCCTGACATGCTTAGCAAAGGACACACTACTTCCAAGAGTTACTTTTCTCCAGGTACAGAGCAAATCTACTGCTGTTCAGGACCAACCAACTCACTCCCAGGCACATTCAGAGCCTGTTGATTCAGGAACTGCACACATCAGGAATTTCACAAGAGTACAGGGAAAGTTACACAACCACCAGCCCAGCAGAATAACCCGAGCACCACTGCCCCACCATGCAGCTCCCCTCAGCACTCCTCTGCAGCGCAGCCGCCTGTCCACACACACAGAAGTGGCACCCAATGCTGTGGGAAAACACCACAACCGACCCTGCTTCTGACACAGCCTATGTGAAAGGCCAGAAAAAGATAGAGATGCTAGGATTTGCCCACTCTCTTTCAATAAAATCAATACCCACTGCAACATTTTCTGTTCCTCCTTGCCCTGTTTCTTTTTTTCAGGCAGAGCCTAACAGCATGGCACTGAACCACAGAAAAAATCTCAAGGCTTGTGCAATCCTGGGTTAATAAATAAGAACTGAAGACGACCATGGCAACACCTAAATTCTGAAAGAGGTCTCTGTGCACTTCTGTTGGAGAGAGGTGCTTCCAGACCTGCCATGCTCAGCTCCAAGTTACTCACCGTATTACACGAGGTCAGAAGATTGATGACGTTGTGATCGAATTGTGTCACGTGGTTGGCAATATACACCCTCACATTGACATCACGAAACTGGGGATCACTTTGCCGCACAAATAAGCCCAGCACTGAGCACATCACACGTACAATAAACCTGGGAGGGGGGAAAGTGGTTTCCTCAAGTCCTGCAGTCTGAGCCACTGCTGGCTTACACACCCAATAAACAGAACAGAGACCTGGGAGTTCACATAACTTCAGGAAGGACACTGGTACAAAATGGAAATGATGTGACAGATGTCTGGGACAGGAATTGTTGGAGGGCTGCAGTTAGGGCTGAAGGCTGCCTGCAGAGCTGTAGCTGCAGCATGAAATATGGGGCAGCAAGCCACCACAGAAAGTCTTAGCAGGATACTCAGCTGATCCAAGTGTTCCAGATCAGTCCTTGAGCACTCAAGAGGCAACTGCCAGCTTTAGCCTTGGCAGAGAAGGACACCTTCATGGGTCCTGGGGATGAAGAGTCCCAAAAGCACAGCTCCCTGTAAACCTCTGCATGAGCCAAGCTCCTCCATGGCTAAGGACCCCAAACGGGCAAGGCAGCCCTCCTGCTCCACGTTGCCCCACAGCACTGTCTGCACACCCCATCCCCACCCTGGGCAACAAGAGTAGCTCCACGCCATGGGGAGAGCCAGGCCCACGCACCGTCGCAGCACGCTGTCAGGCAGAGCGCAGCTGACCAGAAAGACGTGTACGCCGATGAAGACGCGCAGGACGAGCAGGCAGAGCCCCACGGGTGCGTAGAGCAGCAAGGCCAGAAGCAGGAACCCATCGGTCGGAAACCTGTAGGGCCAAAGAGCAGCACAGATAGCCTGCGCATGGCTGGGATGCCTACGGGATAGACAGAACCCCAGCTGCCCGCCCGGGCCCTCCCCAGGTATCACCCTGTTTTCCCCCGTTCTGCATAACCTCCCGGGCCTCCCCAGCGAGATACCCAGCCCATCCCGGGCGTCCCGGTCACGCCCTGGACCCTCACCGGTCCCCCCACGGGACACCTCGACCCTTCCCACGGAGCTCCCGTGGAATACCCCCTCTCCCAGCGGACCCCCGGGGCCTCCTCCCGGGGACACCCCGACTTCCTGCGCGGGCCTCCCCCGGGAGCCCGCGGCCCGCTCCCACGAAACACGGGAGAGGCCCACGCGCGCCCCCCAGGCCGTCGCGGCTCTCACCGGTGCGAGTCGAAGAGCCGCTCGGGGCCCGGGGCCGCAGGAGGCTCCATCCCCGCCGCAGCCGGTACCTCAGCGGCACCCGACACCCGCCGCCATCTTCCCCCGCGGCCGCCCGCCTGGCTCGCGCGGGGCAGCCTGGGAGGCACGGCGCCTTCCCGGCGTGCACCGCGCCGCCCCCCGTCCCCCACCCCTTCTCTCTCCCTCTCGCCACGGGCCCTCGACGGCCGGCGACGCGGAGAGGGCGGTTGACGGGTCCGGCGGGCCCGGTGAGCTGCTCCCGCCGCAAAGCCTCCCTGCCCTCCCCCGCCGGCGGCCGCGCTAGGACCGTCGGCGCGGCTGGCGGCGGGACTACAGCTCCCAGCGTGCCCCGCGGCGGACTACAGTTCCGGCAGACTTCCGCCTTAGGACTACGACTCCCAGCGTGCCCCGCGGCGGGGCCGCGCCTCCCCGCGGGGCCGGCGGGGGGGGGATTTCCTTCCTTGACCGCAAACCCCCTTTGGCGGG